GGGCATTCGTGAAGGAACAAGATAGTTCTAGAAACTAGAGGGCGTGAGAATAGTCACGTGATCTCAATGACGCAACAATAGGGATGAAATGATTTCAATATCCGTTTTCCTGGACGCATCAAGAACCATAATATAATAAATTTGTTCGAAATGAAATCGTTTTGATTTTATTGAAGGCAAAATATAAAATTTTTTGTTCCAATAATTAGTAAATGTTTAGTTATATTTGTGTAAAAATACGCTCTTTCTTTTCTGGAATCTGGATACCTTTCTGGAGCTTCGATTGGCAGCTCCAACTTTGAAAGCAAAGAATGTATTAGTTCTGGTAAACAAAAATATAACTAAGAATTAACATATCTTATTTAATTTTTTTTGACAGATTATTTCATGTGTGTGTTTGTGCAAGTAATGATTTGTTTGTTGTTAAGGGCAAAGTTACACGAATGAACTATTTGTGTTCTGTCCATTGTGGGTATCAAAGCATGATTTTTAGCGTTTTGAGCCCTCAGATTTACCGGTGAGCCAGCTGAGGACCTCAATCAATAAATAGAACAAATAATAAAGCTACAAAATTCAAATTGGTGTTTGATTAAAACATTAATTTAACTCATTCTAAAGAGGATAATTAAAAACTATGTTCATTAGAAAATCTGCCTTAATGTACTTAAGTACTAATTAAAGCATAAATAAAACTGTGTATTTAAACTTAATGTTCTCGAAGAGGCAAGAAAAAGAAATCTCGTGCTTCAACAAAATTTTACTAAACATTATTTGTGATCGACGGATTATAAGGCGTAGTTATGGTTATAAATGGCAACCGTCTGAAAGCTGTAATTTAATAATGTTTTAATGAAGTTATATTTAAAATTCAGTGAATACTTGCTAAACGTTTTTCTTTAGTATTCAGATAGATGGATAAACATTGTAAGTAATTAATACCATTAATATGTTTGGCCAGATAGTTTAAGAACAAATCCTGTAAATTAAATCCTTATGTTTGTTTTGAATTTCGCGCAAAGCTTTACGAGGGCTATCTGCGCTAGCCGTCCCTAATTTAGCAGTGTAAGACTACAGGGAATGCAGCTAGTCATCACCACCCACCGCCAACGCTTGGGCTACTCTTTTACCGACGAATAGTGGGATTGACCGTCACATTATAACGCTCCTACGGCTGTAAGGGCGAGCATGTTTGGTGTGACGGGGATTCGAACCCGCGACCATCAGATTGCGAGTCGAGCGCCATAACCACCTGCCGAGCCAAATAAATATAATATTGCTTGTCATTACTTGTGAGAAATAAACTGCTTGTATTTTTAAATTTTACGAAACTAAGTTTTAAATTTTAAAATCTTGAGATATATAGTTTTAGGTCATTTAGGCTTACCTTTCGTAGAATTAGCTAAAATGGATAAGCATTATAGGGAAAATTAATTTTAAATAACAATCCATATATTTTACTTAAATGTCTTAGGCTTAATACTTCACGGTTATCTTTGGAAAATTTCACTCCAAATAGGAAAACTTTCTAAATTTTGCGCACCATAGTTCACTCACAGATAGAAAACCGTTTTAATTTGACATCTTAACTCAAAGTAAGTGGACAAGAACTCTCCAAAAAAACTATATATAATTTCTTTAATCAAGATAAATCTTAGTTCATTACTAATTTTTTAGCAATTCATTTCGTGGTTTTATAATTAAAGGTGACATTCCATGACACATTACTGAATTACTTACTTGTTCGAACGACGTTCACTATTACTATTAGTAAAGCCTACGTACTGCATCATAGAGAGCAGTTTTTATGTTTTGTCCTGTCACAACACTGTTTATAGGACTTACAGAAAAGTTGGGTGAAAACAACTGTTTTCTTTGTAAAATACACAGCGGTAATAAGCGGGACTAATTTTAATGTGTTATAAGGGACCCTATAACTAACAAAGCCATGGATCTACAAATAATTTATTCATAAATAGTTCAGAATAATATATTTCAAAAGCCGATGAGGGTTCATGGATCCCATCATCATTTCCAGAGTGAAATTAATTTAAATAAAAATAGACTCAAAACTCGAGCCATTTCGAATAGTTAACTGTTCTTCTTCACGAAGATGAAGGATGAAAGTTATTAGGAGTTAATGGTATTTTGAATAATTGATTTTGTAAAACTATTAATTCTCTGATAGGCAAATGATATAATGCGTAAGAAGAGCTAACTATTCTTATTGCTAGTATTTCTAGTATTGTGCGAAGCAGGTGACATCGTTCGTAAAGTGGAACACATTTGTTGGTGTTTGCATTTCACCATTGAATAACATGGAACTCAACATTTAACTTTGTTCAGATGGCAGCTACAGTACCCGAGGCTCCTAATGAAGGAGCGGAAGGAGTCGTGTCTTTCCCAGAAGTGTTCAAGGCATTTGCAAAGTTCGGGGATTCCAAGAGTGCAGGTGAAACCATCACGTTGTCAAACACCGTTAAGTGGTTTAAACAAGCCAAAATTATTGACGGTAAAAGAATTACAACAACCGACATCGGTATATACTTTAAACAAGTAGCAAAGTAAGTTTACAATAAAGATACTTTCGTAATCACACGTTATTGTTGCGGTTTCACTCGATAAATAACACAAGATTATGTATGTTGTTTACTTTGGTCTAATTAGGCATATAAATGTTATTATTTATAGAAGTAGCAAATTATGGTCATTATTTCTGTTATACGACGCCTAATGTAATTAAAACAGAATTTCTAGATTTAAAAAAAATCCTCGTGACAGTTGCTTATATAAGCTTTTAAAGAATTTTGTATTAAGAAGAAAAATGTTCACAGTATTTTGCGAAATTTCAATTTACCCTTAACTCAATGTGTTACTTTCAATTGACCTTTAACTCAATGTGTTACTTTCAATTGACCTTTAACTCAATGTGTTACTTTTAATTGACCTTTAACTCAATGTGTTACTTTTAACTTACCCTGAACTCAATGTGTTACTTTCAGTTTACCTCTAACTCAATGTGTTACTTTCAATTGACCTTTAACTCAATGTGTTACTTTCAATTTACCTTTAACTAAATGTGTTAATTCAATTTACCCTGAACTCAATGTGTTACTTTTAATTTACCCTGAACTCAATGTGCTAGTTTCAATTTACCTTTAACTCAATGTGTTAATTCAATTTACCCGTAATTCAATGTGTTACTTTCAATTTACCCTGAACTCAATGTGTTACTTTTAATATACCCTGAACTCAATGTGTTACTTCTCTTTGGAAGAGGAAAATTATTTTGACGATTGACAGGTAAAGTAACGAAGAAAATATGTCACAAAAACTTACAGTAACAGAATTATTTTTTCTAGATGTTGCCAAAATGTATGGTAGATATTTGATTATAGTGTGTATAAAATGTACAATAGATGCTTATTTTTTATGTATGGTAGATATTTGATTATAGTGTGTATAAAATGTACAATAAATGCTTATTTTTTATTTATGGTAGATATTTTATTATAGTGTGTATAAAATGTACAATAGATGCTTATTTTCATTGTGTTTTTTGAATTTTCAGAACTAAAAAGGCTTTGAATATGAAAGAATTCAACCAGTTTTTGGAAACCATCGCTAAGAACAAAAAAGTGTCCGTTGATGAAATCAGACAAAAACTTGCCTCTTCAGGGCCACCAGCAACAACTAGAACAACGGTTAGTAGAAAAATATATTCACGATGATGATGAAAATAAGTTACACTGGCTGGAAACTTTATTAGGACCTGTATACTATTTCAGACTTGAGCTTTACCTGAGCTGCATATGCAAATTAGTAACCACGTGATATGTCAGATGATCCCAACAGCACTATAAATAACTGAGATAAGCACATTTACAGCCAGTCAAACAGATATGAGGAATGGGAAAGATATTGCAGCTTTCAAAAGGGGTACGATAGTTTGTGCACATATAGCTTGTGCCACAGTTGCCAAGACAGTTTCACTGTAGGCTGCTCCAAGACAATCAGTCATTAGAGTTTATAAGAAAGAGCAAAAATTAATAAAGTGTCTGTTTTGAGGAACAAATGTCGATGCAAACACGAAGTGACAGAAATAGCAGAAAGGTAACAAGATAGTAATGTTCAATCGTCACAATCATTAGACCAACTGACATACATTCGGTACAGGCAGGACAACTCACACCTATCTCCAGCTGTACCATGCGAAGAACATTACAATGAATGAACTAAGAAATTAGGAGATCATTTCATAAACTACTGGACTCGTATACTAGCAAGCAAAAGACACCTCGAGTGATGTAAAGAGTGCAGAAATTGGCTTCTTAAGGACTGGTAAAAGTCGATGTGGTACAATGATCCACGTTATACTCCTTTTTGCAAATGTAGGAGAAGGCAAATTAAATAAACAACACAACAATATCTCACTCCTCTTGTTTGGTCCTTTCTAGCCAGGTCTTTGGTGGCATAGTTATAGTTTGGGGCGTGATTTCCTGGTCCCACTGCTCTATTTAGAGGGGACAGAATGTATATCTCAACATCATTTCTGATCACGTGCATCCAGCGATGATGCTTTAAGTGTACCCTGATAGGGACACCTACCTCCAAGACGAAGTGGTTTCCATTCCTTCTGCCCAAATTGTCCAACATGGTTTGAGGGACATGACTAAAACTTCGGCCATCTTCCACGTCCACCAAATCTTAATTAATTTGAGTATATGTGGATTGAAATGTAAAACACATTCCTCTGCTTCTACAATTTGCGTACTATATTAATGACTGAATGGGGGAAAAACCCCTTCCAGCACTTGGTAGATTATATGCTATATCGTATTATGGCTGTTATTAAGGCAAAAGGTGATCAACCCGATAATAAGTGAAGGTCCTAATAAAGAGGCGAGCTAGAAAATTTACCTTGTTATGTCCATTCTATCATATTTAAGGTTTGAAACATTCTCTGAAAGATTAACTTAAGCTTTATTTAAAGCTATTATTTTGGAATGAGTCACGTTTCCTTACACGCAAAAAATTAAAGGGTTTTGGATGTTTCAAGTTCTATTTAAATATTTTTGTATAAAGTAAAAAAAAAGTCGGAACGACATGATTGTTTGGTACGATATAAAACGTTTTACGTTAACGTCTATTAGAATAATTCAATTTAAGAATACAAATTAGTTATTATTAATTTTATTTAGACGGCAGCAACTGGTGGCGCTGTTAGCCGGTTAACGGACCATACAAAGTATACAGGAACTCACAAGCAGAGATTTGACGAGTCCGGGAAAGGAAAAGGTATAGAAGGAAGGACTGACGTCATGAACGATTCGGGTTACGTTCAAGGTTTTAAGAGCAATAATCCATAACGAAGAAAGCTTTTCGCAATATTTAAATTGTTGCGATGGATCCACTATTATGCCTAAAACAATATCAGAATAATGGATTCATTGTTTATACACTTTAATTAGATATAATGATTTCGGTATTTAGCATTTTTCAATTAAAGTTGCTTAGTTATGTTAAGTTTGTAAGATTTCGAATAAAAAAATGGAGAACAAAAATGATAAAACCGTTTTGCAGAAAGTTATCAAGATCTGGTCTAAAAATATATGCTGCAGATCATTTAATTATTTTGCTGGACTTCTGGAAATTGATTTTAATGTAGCAAAACGAGTCTTTTTCCTAATTCAGTGCACTTTCAAGTAAGTAAGTTTATTTTTAAACACCAATTAATTTCCCTCGAGTCACTCTTCGACCTATTGAAAGACGAAGTTTTTTTTTCTTCTGTATATTTAGCAATTTTCTGTTCTCTGCGATAATTTACGTTATTTATTTATGTGGGGCGTTGTGCTCTAACAACTTCATTTCAAATTTCATAATGTGATATTTTATTATACATACTATTCCTCTTTTGTGATCCAGAGGTCTCAATAAGCGTCTCATGGAAAAATCAGGCTTCTTCGAAATTAAATAACTTATCTAATTTGTAAATCAGTTATTCCCAATACTTGTTTGCTATTTGTTTCAAAGCTTCACAATGGGGTATCTGTACTGTGCCCACCGCTGGTTCAAAACCCAATTTTTATCAAGCCCCCAGACTTATGACTGAACCACCAGGGGGTAGCAATTCATATTACGCGTATTAGAAACTGTAGGAACACACACCTGCTGTAGTTTCAGAAACTTTATATCATTCAAAGAACTTACATTTTTATTGTTTAGAATTTGTATTTCGTTTTAATGACAAAGCTACTAAGGCTATCTGACACTGACCCTAATATGGAACTGCTGATCAGAAGGAAGGCAGCCAGTAAGCAGCACCCTACCACAAACGATCCACGCTTATAGGTTGACCCCCACTCTTATAACGCACCCACAACCTATAAAGTGGTTGAAATATATCGTTGATTAGAATCCGGCTCATCACCTGCGAAATTCAGAGCTCTACCACAGGGCTTACCCGTGCCTTAAATATTCAATATTCAAAGAAAACATGTATTTAATAGACATTGGGCTCTCTCTCCTGTTGATGTTAATAACAAGGGGCACAGCGGTAGGTCTGCGGACTTACAACGCTAGAATCCGGGTTTCGATACCCGTGGTGGGCAGATCACAGATAGCCCATTGTGTAGCTTTGTGCTTGATTACAAACAAAGAAATAACAGAGTATAAAAGAGTAAACCTGCAGATATTGATTCAGACTGAGGTCAACGTAGTTTGTAATATTAACCACACTAGTTTCTACGAAGTGTTTAGTATTTAAAAAAAAAGAAAAAATTTAAAATCAGTTTTCATGTTCTATTAACTGCTTCCTTAAGTTATCGTATTATCATAATTTTTAAAACTCAAACCTTAGACCTAGGCGAGGGAACAACACTAACTGGCTAATGTACTAATTCTAAAAATTCCAGTTGTTTTCCCTTTAATAAAACAAAAGTTTAGGGATCATCACAGTTTCTTATATGGCATAATATGGAATATTTATCTACAGGTCTAGTCTATATTACCCCCCAGTGGCCCAGCGGTATGTCCGCGGAGTTACATCTCTAGAAATCGGGTTTCGATACCTGTGGTGGGCAGAGCACAGATATCACATTGTGAAACTTTGTGTTTAACTAAACAAACTGGTCTTATGTTTAGAATCACAGAATTAGTTAATAGTGGGTCTAATTTGACAAGATTTTTATGAATCTGAAACTAAAATAAGTTTGATTTATAATACTTAACTTTCTTTAACACAAACTAGAGTTTATTACGAGACATTTCTATTAAGTTAATTAACATCACGACCAGAGTTTCAACTTGTAGGATATCGATAATTCTTGACGAGGATGTAATAGCGAAATATTGAGCCGATAAAGATACATTTGGGAGATATAGATCGTTATTTCATTTATCTTAATAAACATGCGGTCAATATCACCAAAGCTGCCTTCTACTTTTCATGTTTAGTCTTTCTACGACATATATATTTTATATATAGTGATCAATATGGACATGAGGGTAGTTTATATTACTATAGGGCGTCTCAAAAGTTAGTTTTCATAAGCTGAACATTTACACGTTTACAGAAAATGCTCAAAACGTCCGCTCTCAAAATTGATACACTACTGAAGAAACTCAATCCGGAACCTCTTCACTTTCTTCCAAAATCTATAAAGAAACAAAAAAAGCAACGCCAATTTCTCCACTTTCACTAAAGAAGCAACTTTTGAGACACCCTGTAGTTTTATGATATGTAGATTTTTTTGTGTGATATTAGCACTATCAGGCAGGCGGTAGCACTGCCTGTGTAGGGATGACTCGGACTGTTCATCAAAATGGTATTTTAAATAACCCCACAATAGGTCATCAGAACTTTACAATACTATACAGTGTTTCCCTTTATAACAAGTTCTGTGTAATGACTGAGTCACAAGTTCTAGGAATGTCTGTAAATATCATAACAAAAAGTTTGAATTTATTGTTCTTCTTTCTTCTGCTTCTTTTTTTATTACATGATAACTCAAAAACCGAAACAATGGT